CGAACGGGAACGGCAAGGGAGGGGTTCCTCGAAACACCCCCCTAAAGACTCCTTTAAAGACTCCCCTAAAGGCGGCTCGGCCACGTCGTCGGCGTCGCCAGGGGGGAAGGGGGAGCAGCGCTCCCGCTGGGCGGGGGGGGCGTGCGGCTCGGGCGCCGCCTCCTCCCCGACGTCGAGCTCCGTGCGCTCGCGCTTGCTTTGCAGCACCACATTCATGGCCATCCGATCCCTAAAGCATGCACAACGCAACAAATATACCCCAATCTAAACAAAGTGATATATAGATACTTAGATATCTAGATATATAGTTATACGCCAAGCTGAATTAATTCCTCTTCTTTCTCTTGGAAAAAAAAAAGAAAAAGTGCAACTACGGAAACGAAGGAATTCAAATATAACTAATCAAGACTCTCAGGCCGCACCGAAGGCACAGGCGGCGCCTGCTCCTCCTTCAGCGCTCCCGTCGATCACCTCACCCTCCCGGCTCACGTCATAGATTCTGGGTATTTCAATCGAGAAAAACGTATCATATTCTGAATTTAAACCTAAGTAAATAAATTAATCAAAAAAAAACTTCTATAGGTGATGGCTAGGTAAATTGCGGAGAGTGGCTCATGGGGCAAGTATCCTAAAAAAGGGGGTTTGAGCCATGTAAGAGTGGGGTTGGAGTGCACAAAATGCTCCTCTCCTCCCCCATCCCTCGCCCCCTCTTGTTTCGTCCAGTTCCTCTCTCTATTTATCTTCTCTCACATTTACGCGTAGCCGTAGAGGATGTGGCCGCGCTTGCGCAGGGCATTCACGACATCCGATGCGGTTACCGTGCGGCGGTGGCCGTACTCCGTATACGAAGTGGCATCGCGCACGACGCCCTCCACAAATCCCTTCAGCACACGCCGCACCTCCTCGTAGATCTCGCTGGAGATGCGCTTCACGCCGCCACGACGGGCGAGGCGGCGGATGGAACCGCGGGTGATGCCGCGGATGTTATCACGCAGCACCTTCTTCTGGCGCTTCTGGCTGCCCTTGGCGTCAGCAGACTTCTTTCCCTTGGCCATTTTTTCGGTGGATGTGGAGTTAGTAGAAGGTTTGGTGTGTGATTTAGCGGATAGAGCGAGCTCTTGCGAATTTATTCATTTTAAAAAATTGATCGGTGGATCAGGTGTTGGGTTGGTTTAGAATGGGGTATAAGACAAAGAAAGAAGAAGTAGAGGAGAAAATGGTAAGAAAGAATGATCAATGATAAAAAAACCCACAATCACTGGATGGTGGTGGAGGCTGAAATACCCCAACCGCGATGTTGACAAAGAGAATATCAACAAAGCCCCAAAAGGCTACACTTAATCATAGACGCCTGCAACACATACACACACACACACACACACACACACACATCACATCACATCACATCACATCACATCAAATCACACGACGCCAAATATTCACTTCCATCCCAAAGTCAACTCCCGCAGCGGACCCCATCCCTTCGCAACGATACCAAAAAGCGAACGCTATTTCACATATGCGTGCCCCCTCGCAAAAGGATGTAAGAACGCACCAAAAATTCGAGGCCAGATGCCAATAATGTCGCTTCCACCGGTTGGTTTCCGCATCGATCTATATCTGGATAGATAGATAGACTGATTGATTGAGGGAAGGAGGGGGTTAGCGCTGCATCCGCGCGGCGTCGAGGGCGCCCTCGAGGGTGTTCCGATCCACCCGCGTCCCCCGTTTCGTCCACAGCGGCGCGGCGAACTCGAACTGCTCCTCCAGCAGCATCGGCTCCGCGCTGGTGAGGTCGCGCGCCTTTCGTTTTCGCACGAGCTGCGTCATGTAGCACTGCATCCGCCCGGGCGGCTCGCTCGAGACGATCGCGTGGAAGAGCTCGCGGTCGCCCGCGATGAGGGCGGCCTTCGCGCAGCCCATCC